GATTTGACCTCAGAGTAATTTGGTTTTACTCACACTGACCTTGTTGGAAAGATGGCTGTTAAGAAGCATAGTAGGAAAAATATGTTCCCTCAACCACATGACAATCTGTGATTGAATCCGGGAAGGTCATAGCATGTCAACTTCCTCTTGGTCCAATTTGTTTTGTCTGTCTTCAAGGCAACAATACCATTCTCCCCCCAATAACATTTTGAAAGCATTTTAGGGTAGGGGCTGTAAAAAGTCCCTACTGAATAAGGATTAGAGTAGGAAAAGCAACAAGTGCACATACACTGAAGACGGAGGAGTCTCCCTTAATGTTGGCTGACTTTCTGGACATTTTAGGATTGGTCTGTTGGTCTGTCACCATGATACTGACATTTGTAGAGTTAGTAGAAATGTCTCAACTATTGGACTGGTTGTACAGCAAACATTTTGCCACGTCATTGCAGGGAAATTAGAGGTGTAGTAATGATAGCTGCATTCCACTTAGGAGAAGTCTTGCTTTTGTGCGTGCTGGTTCACTGTTACTGGGATACTTAGCTAATGGAACTGAGCCGTTGTTACTGTTATTAAGTCCACCTGTGTTTTTCTAGTTCCAGACTTGGTAATTTCATAGCTAAGCTATGCAGTGGAATTGGGATGCAACCAGAAATATCTTGTGGCTTGTTGGCTTCTCTTCCAAGCAGTTTAGACTCCACCATGTATCTCTGACAGTTGTGATGGAGAGGCCAGGCCAGAATGGATCGAAGCTTCTCCCAAGAGAAAAGCAATGTCCTTGTGCTGAAGAACAGAATTGCCATGACTGGACACCATCTATGATTTAATTATCTTTAGAGGGGATAACATTTTTGGTTAGTATGGTACAGGGGTCATTGAAGAATTGTTGACCTGGGTAGGGCTGACATTATGTGAAAAACAGACATTTGCAAAAAATTACAGGACAGAGGGGAACGTCCACCAGACAGTTCTTGATATCTACAGAGAGTGAAAGCACTGTCTCAACCCCCAACATGGTGCATAATCCTACTGCCATTTCTATTAACTTTTCCTGCTTGAATATAATATTGAACATTTTATCTGCAATAGGGGTTATACTGTAAATCCTGTGTGTAAGAAGAAAATTGTGACCAAATGATATCATTAAAGAAGGTTCAGCAGTCACCACGAATTCACAGAAAATTTCAAAGACATTCAGCTTTTAGAGTCAAGGGGTAATTTTGACATAATAAGACAAGAAATTAGGGAAAAATCATAGGAAATGTCATAGCAATCTTATCAAGAGTTGACCACTGATTGATTGCATATGTGCCTATTTTTAATCCTTCATTTATTCACAATATTCACACATAAAATTGCTACTGGATGTGTTTTTCAAGTGGCAGTCAAGATGGCAACCCACAAAAGGTCCTACAGGAGGTACATGATGTTCTGGGTACTTGGCATAGAACAAGCCTGCATGAAAGCAATAGCCTGCAGTGCAATAAAAATGAGAGCTGTGAAAAGAAAATACTTGAGTGTGAAAGATGGGAATTGCATGATTTTCTGCGCTCTGTGAATTTGATGTAGTGATGTAGTAGTGCATGACAAAAAGCCTCTGTCTGTTCTTCTTTCAATATTATTCCAATAAGGCAAATGTGTTGGATTCTATGTGGGATCATAGTATGGCCGCAGTGTTTCCAGCTGTGAGTAAAATACACTGACCTTCTCCCACTTTATGGTATTTCTTAGTTGTTGTGGCTCTATATCTATATAAACTGTTCAATAGTTTATTCATGAGAATTTTGTTCAGGTGTGGAAGACTCTGCTTTAAGTGGTGAATAAAGTCTTTTCACAAACACACAGGGTGTTCAGAGAAACCTTTTTTATTTTTAAATTATTTCTAAAGAATTCTTGGTTCAATACAACCGTATGGGGCCAAAGCCCATGGATATATAACTCTTATGAACATCTTACTAGGTGAGTGATTGACTACAGCCTGCAGCCGCACAGGGAGCTCGCCTCACAGAAAAAAAGAACCCATACAAAAATCTGAATTTTGTTCAAACTAAAAAAAATGTTGACGCAAACTGCAGGCATTTCATAATTTAAAACAGGCAGAATCATTGTATCATGTTAGAAAGATGCATTCAATTTAAATTAAATGCTAAAGTCAGCATGCTCACAATGATAATCTCAACACTGATGTTTAGCAGGCATAATGTTTAACATGCTAACCATCTTAGTTTAGCGTGGTAGCATCACCACAACTTGCTTGGTGGCATGTGGGGGGCGCTTTAAGCCAACTCTGGAGAAGGTCCATCTTAGACACAACTCAGCGCGACTCAGCACAACATGGTTAGTTTAAACTGGTAATGGAAACACAATCAAGGTGGCATGGTTTGACTCAGCGCTGCCAAAAGTGCCAATGGAATAGGATTCATCCTCTTGGAAACATGAATGTTTAGTGCCAATACTTTTAGTAGATGTAGTAGATATTTTACTGGATAATATTTTGACTTATTAATACTTTGATGATCTGGTGGGACTAGAGGATTGATTAGCATTCATCCTCTGGGGATCATTAAGGTCTGTACAAAATTTCATTGTAATCCAACCAATAGTTAAATATATTTTAGTCTGGAACAGGACCAGCAGACATACACCCAATCAACAAACTGATTTCCATCCATAGACCCAATGCTGCTCACATGGCTAAAATTGCAATATATTTGACCACATATCAAGTTGGCATTTCACTCAAGGGGCTAACTGACTAACAGTCAGTGGCGTGCACAGACTTTTTTTTTTGAAGGCGCGTCCAGGGGCAGAAAGGAAAAAAAGGCAAATGTAGCGGCGTCGCTTCACGACCAACTCGTACGAGGGCACCTTTACGACCTCCGTCATTCTTTAACCTCGTTTTGTCTATAGCAAATGTGACGTTTATACTACGCGCCTCTACCAACACAGACTAACTAGACACGGACCGTTAACTCAGGCTTAGTCCTGCTGGCCATAGGAGATCAGCATCCAACGGAGGGAATCAGTGTGGATTCAACCATAGGACCTTCGAAGAACATACAGGGACACTGGATGTATAAAAGAAATACATGGCCAGGGGGTCTCCCCCAAGAAAAATTTCAAATTAAGTACGATGCCAACTTTCCTGTATTCACTAGTGCATTTTAACAGGCCCAGTATTCCCAGCACGCAGAATAAAACTACCAAACTGGTTCTGTCGAGATAATAGAACGTGCTCCTTGCGCTTCACAATATCCACGATCCAACCAAACGGCCCAATATAGGCACCCAAAGTCATTGCAACAGTAACTCGTGTCATAGTATTTCTTGTCCTATAGCTCCTTCCTGGACGTTTTAATGTATTTTCTTCACCATTCTAACTATTTCACTAGTTTAGCACTCAACAAGAAGACAAACTGTGATGGAGCAGTCGAGAATCACCAGTGCCGGCTCCATTGCTTCAAGCGTGGCCAGGATTGCAATCCCAAGTCTCAACGTCTCTTAAAGCACAGTGTCCCAAGTCAAGTCAAGTGTTCGACGGTCCTACCAACCCAAGTCGGCGGAGCGTCAACTTAAACCTGCGCGGAAACCTGATATGCCAATGCTCCAAACACCCAGGAACTTTTAACTTTACTTGTCAGGCTTTGAAAAGCTATTCCCAACAAAGACTAGAAGCACGGGCAGTCTGAGTGCTGTTTGTCTAGTCACCAGCAAGAGGGCAATTCTAGTCGTATTTGGCCAAACAGGAGGCGCACTCTTCAGGCAGCGCACTTTGCGCCTCCCAAAGAGGCCGGCCAATCCTAGTGTATTTTCGCCCCCAACGCAGCCGAGGGCGCGCACTATTCTACGCACGCGCTTTGGCTCCCCAACGAGGGCCACCTTGAGGGCATTTAGCACGTTGTTCGCTGGCTCCCAACGCGGCGCACTGTAGCCACGAGTCTTACTGGCTCCCAAACGAGCGCACTCATAGCACCGCCGTTTTTCAACCAATTCGGGCCCACCGAGGCGGGGCGCGGG